TTATTTCTAGCTCATCAAAATATATGACTAGTTTCGTGGTATGATCTATTCATTTACCATATGTACAACAATCAGATAATCAATACGAATCTTTTATTCGGGCTCAAAATGTAATATAACAGAATTTTCTTAAGAGCTATTTAGCTATTTGCTATCTATCACTCTTTTTGATTTTCTAAATCTCTACTTCACTTGCCTACAATATTCGAATTATTACTTCCTGTGGGCCATTCATTATATATGTGTTTAATGCACATATTACTATATTCGAGTATACTATATAATGTGAGCAATAAATTTGAATATATGCATTGTTTATTTGATTCGTATTACGAGTCATTTGCAATTGTATGATTGACTTAATATATGTGACAGTCGAGTGAGTAACATAGAAGAGTTCGCGTATTCTGAACGATTCAGAAATTGTATCGTTGTTTTTTTTGTATTGCTTTCCTGTTTTCTATTTATTATAAGCCTTCGTTAAAAAACTTGTTTACTTACTCCCGAAATCATTTAGCTTTCACATTAAAACTTGAAGATTTCGAGAATTCTTACAGGCCGTTCATTTAAAGTTTTGTAAAGATGGAGAATTTCGAGTGATTGTAACACTGAAAAAGTTATATTATCAAAATATTTTGCATACTATTGTCTGAGCATCAATTGAGAGTTGCAAAGTCATTGAAATTTCTATCATTCGCTTGTAGAATATTGTTATCTGCCAAGTCCATATTAAACTTGTTGTTAAATGTGTGTCGTCAAATAAAACTCACTGCAGTAATCAATGATTAAATAATCTTTGTGTTTACTATTCGTTTATATTGAAAGTTTTATCTACAGAATTTGCTGTATTTGCGTTTGCTTTGATGTTCATCGTAACTATTTGTCGAACCATCTTATGGTCATCAGTAGATATTATCGAGCTACATTTTGGCACTAGTAGCCTGATGTGATTATTCAGTTGCTTGATCCATAAGACCTTCAGAATAACGGCTAAGGTCTATTTAACATTTTTGTACTATCTATGTGCCGGTTGGTCTTTTTAGTTCTGTGATTTTTCCAATACTTTTTTCTGCCCTAAATTCTTATTGTCTTTTAGGAAATACTGGACATATCTTTCAACATCCTGAATGACGAGAATCTCATCAAATTTCATTCAGAATATTGCTTCGGTTCCTCTTCGAGATCTTCGCTAAGTATTTTATCAGATATTTTTCCTGGATTGAGAATATACAATGTGACTG